GCTATTTGGATATATTTCATAGAAAGGTTTTAAGTCCATGAAAATTTGGTCCACCAGAATTTTTTCATATTACACACAAACTGACAGTCTTGACGATGAATATACTGTTGATATTTCTAGATACGTGGAGATTCACAGGAGTAATTCAAATTAATCGGAGTTGACATTAATGCTTACATAGTCTAAAATAATATATTCTATTAGGGTCATCACAATCCACATCTAAGAAGAGTTTTTAAATTCACTGTTGATTAGGTACTTTTGAAACGTTAGCGCAATTCCATCGGTTGTATCATTTCATTAGATATTTTCTGTTGATTTTAAGAACAAGCCTCAACCTGACAAAATGGTTGAGAATATTCCTGGAGTTTTTTCCCAACACCAAATCGTTATTTTTAACACCTCGACACGTGTTTCGATCACCAAGTGATCATCTTCAAAGAGGAAGATTAAAACTGAGTTTTAATCTTCCAACACCAAATCGTTATTTTTAACACCTCGACACGTGTTTCGATCACCAAGTGATCATCTTCAAAGAGGAAGATTAAACTAGTAACTAACGCGAAGCTAACGCTATTTATGCTATATAGATATCCCATACAAGTAAACCATCCAGGTGTACCACCCATATAGGTATACCAACCTAAATTGATTTTACAATTTTGCCTTATCTATTATTTTACAATATATGTTTAACTGTTATAGCTGTATATAAAACAATTTTTAGCTATATAAAAAAATGGTGTTGGGAAAAAAACTCTAGTAATATTCATTACTACACCAAAGGTTCCAAACAGTGCATCATAAGTACAAAATGGTTAAGGCTTTCGCGGGCGATGTTTTTTGGGTTCGAAGGCCTCGATTTTTGGAATTTCTTCCTAATGTTTCGCTGACGCTAGTGGCAATTTTCTATGTACTAACTCTGGTAATAACAATTTGCAATTGTGTTTTATGCATCTTGAAAGATAGTACATTTTGATAGTACATTTTGATAATACCGTCTTTTCCGAAATTGAAACTGACAAATAAATGTTTCGAGAAGCATGAAAGGCAAGATAATAAAAACTGCAACAAATTGAAATACACCCAACAACGAAACTGCCGCTGAAGGAAGAGTAACAGAAAACAAGAAAAGCCGAACCAAAAAATTACCTGGAATCATCAATGAATGAAAACAGGTATATAGATTTACGTTCTTCAATAATAGAAACATTTTCAAATGAATTAAGATACCAATATCAATTGCACTTATCTGTTCAACACTTTGCTCTTCATTTGAACTTTTTTCTTAATTTTCATCAGAATTGTAACATACAAAAAAATTGGCAATTACTCAAGATATTTAAAAATGCACCAAATTCTGACAATATAATATGATCATGAATATATTAAGTACAATTGCCAAATTGTCCGTTTTTTATATGAATATCAGAAGTATTGATGAAAACTTGGGAAAATGAAAATTATATCAAATCAGGTAGACAACAGTTTTGATTTTGTGATGGTAACGTGAACAGAGAACAGTTTATACAACATTCTACATGATTTATATAAGTTCATTAAGTGATTAACATCATAGCAATGTGGGTAAGAATCAGTTGCTTTTCTTATCCAGAAGGCGACTTCAGTCCGGTAGACTCTAAAAATGCTACGTGAACTTGTAATGTTTGTGTTTTGTCAAATCTCTCCAACGGTATATCATTCGCTTAGCCAAGTTTTGTCTACTGAAAAATAATTCTATTCTGTCGTCGAAAATCTCTTATGCACCTCAGATAATTTATCATTTTCGATCAAGAACGATTTTTTTTTGTTTTTCCCAGTTGAAATTCAGTTCCTATAAAGTTTTCCACGATTATTCTTGCCAATCATTAGATAGATACTTTGGTATTTTTTCAAGTCTACCTATATTCAAATATTTAAATATACTTTATTGTCTGAAGAATAAATTCTTATTGACAAAGCCTTGTGCGAAATATAAATAAAATATACATGAAATCACAAAAGTATCACAAAAGTAAAATCACTAAAAGTAAGTGATAACGTGAACTGAAAAGAGACATGTAAATAATAACAAACGTTAAGGATATAAGAACACGGTCAATAAAATTAAATAAATCAATTTAAACTAAATTGAATCAAATCAATAAAATACCGTAGATATTACAATTAGTCTTCTCAATTGAAATTATCATCGTAGAATTCTGCCAAGCTATAATAAGGACTCACAGAAAGCAAGTCTTTCAACTCTTTCTTAAAAGCTCTAAGGTCATTTATAGTTCTTATAGCTTGAGGAAGGTGATTGAACATTTTGAGATTGTTGTAAATAATGGAATCTTTAACTAGGGTCGAAAAAGGCAGCGGTAATTTAAAGCTGAATCTCTGCCTGGTTTGATACATTGGCGCGTCCAAATTGTTAAACAATAGATACCCTATTTTTGAAGAGAAGGCAGATTGTCTCATATATGAATAAGGATACCACAGTTAGGATTCTGTTAGAGGCAAAAAGAGGACGACAAGAGTCCCTAGGCTTGGCTTTGCATATGCATCGTATTGCACGTTTATTAGTAATAGATACTGATTGAAGGCATGTGGTAGAACACACAGCCCAAAAGCAAATACCATAACGAAGATGGGATTTAAAAAGGGAATGATAAACCATTCTAGCTTCTGCAGATCCGAGCTCAAATGCAGATCCGAGCTCAAATGCAGTTACTCGTATTGTATAACATCTAGAGGAGAGCTTCGATTTCAAAGTATCTACATATCTGTTGAATTTTAAATTACTGTCAATAAACAAGCCAAGGAATTTAGAAGTTGGTACGTTGTCAATTTGAATATTATTTAGATGTACGGCTGGAATCTGGCAATGATAGGACACTACTTTTGTTTTTGATAAATTCAAGCTCAAGAGATTTGAGTCGAACCAGTCTATCACTTTTGTGATGTAATTCTCAATAACTTCATACAACGTATGGTTGTTAGGAGCATGCCATAAAGCTGTAGTATCATCAGCAAATAAAGTAAATTTTCCTTGGATGTTTATAGACGATAGGTCATTAATGTAAATCAAGAATAAAAGTGAGCCCAGTACCGAACCTTGTGGGACGCAAGTAATTTTACCTTCATTTGAGTATAAAGTGGTTTTGACCATCTGGGTGCGATCTGCTAAGTATGACTCAAATCACTTGAAGACTTATTCCAGTTATATCGTATCTACTGAGTTTCCGTAAAAGAATTTTATGATTCACGCAATCAAATCCTTTGGCTATATCACAGAAGACCGCAGCCACTGTTTCTTTGTCATTTATGTTGGAATAAACATTGTAAAGAAATGAAAATACGGCATCGGAAGTGTTTTTTGCTTTTAAAAACCAAACTGGCAATCACTTATTATTTTGTTTTCATTCAGAAAGCAAAGGAGTCTTGTTTTGACTAATTTTTCTATCAATTTAGCAATTGCAGAGATTAGAGAAATTGGACGAAGACTTGATGGACCATTGATGACTTCTCGCCCTTTGGCAGTGCTAACACAATCGACTTCTTCAAAAAAACTGGAAAGATTCCTTCTCTAAATGAATTATTTATTAGACCAACTAATATATCGAGTATTCTTATCGGAATATTTTCTAGGATTTTTATAGAGATTTCATCTGAGCCTGTGGAGTTTTTATTTTTAATGGAAAATAATGTTTCATGCAGTTGGGTAATATTTGTATCATATAATATAAAGGTGTTCGTAACTTCAATATTCACATAGTCTAAAGGGTCACTGGCTGCTTTTATATTTTTCGTCAAGTCCTCTGCAATAGAGCAATAGAAGTCATTGAGTTCAGTAGGAGAAAACGGAATGTCTACAAATTTTTTGTGTCTCTTGCCAGTAAGTTCATTATTGATACACCAAGTTTTTTTTTATTTATTCGTAGCTTTATCCATTCTACTTTCATAATATTCTGTCAAGGGCCGTTATTTCTTTCTAAAAATAAAATCAGTGTACCTACTGTTTTTCTATCATCAAAAGGAATAGTTTTCTTGTTGGTCATTTCACAGCTTAAGTGTCTCTATCATTCTTGAATTTATATACCTATCGATGATGTTGAAACTCATCCCATCATTTGCAATCACATTTCCACCAGAGTATCAACGGTAAACGAATCATTTTGGTGTATGAGAGCGTCATCTACATTAAAAATAATAATTTTTTATCAACAGAAACAGCAAATTTGCTTATTCCTTTTATTGGAGTGAAAACTGAAGTAGCCACTTCATTTCACACACTAAGTATGATTTACTATAATAACACTAATTGAGATGCAAGGGTTTCATCATTAATTGATATTATTCTGATAATAAAGTACCTCATCAAGGTAGGTACTATTAGATCGAATCAAATCATGACTACATTCCCCTTGTCCAGCAAATATTGAAAATGTCTTAAGGTATGTCTCATTCAATCTGGTAAGCTATGCAGGTATGTGATACATTGAAAAGTGCTTCATAGAAAGTATTAAAAATTTTAGTCGGAATTCGAAAGTAAAAACGATTTGGCTGTTTAATTAAAAAATATATTTCATTTATCAATGCGAGTGTGCTAGATTTTTGTTACTCAACTATAAAAAGTCTTTTAGATTTGTTTTAACAAATCATATAACAACATGGAGTGTTTAAAATGAATACATTTTTGTCTTTTTAACAGACTCATTTATGTACGCCTATGGAACAGCCACTTCAAAGTGGTTCATTAATCCGTTTATTAACAAAATATACTATAGGTGACATACGATCCGAAATTCCCAAAGAAATATATCGTGAAATAGCACCCACATTGACTTATCTCTAAGACTATCCTATTAGCGATTGTGAATTTGTAAATGTCCTAAATGATGCCACATACAAAAACAAAAAGAGAAGTGTTAAATTTATTTGTAAAATAGATAAGTGAAAACCTTGAGGTGCCGGTGCCGGAATGTTATGCACAGTTATAAACGCTTTGACACTTTTGACAGTATATGACATATTTATTTTAGTAAAGTATAAGTAGTTTCAACAATAATATTTTCAATATTTTTAATGTGGATTTGAAGAACAGTCAATTATGTCTGATACTTCTTTGGTTAATCATTTGAAAGTTATCCTGGGAAATGATGTATCCAGTGATATTGTCAGGTTAGTCAAAATAGTCATAATGATACCTACCAATCACAGATAAAAACATTTTTCAGTTATATAAAAAGTATAGAACATGAGGAAGACTATGCTGAATTCATGGAGAATATTTTAGATAAAAATAATAGTGGTCATAGAACGTCTTATGAAGGTATTAGGAACATTATATTTGGAAAACGAAACTCTTCGAATAAGGAGGTCAACTCTGCAAGAAATGCAGCTTCCAGTAGTAATAACCGTAAACAGCCAACATCAGGTTCTAAGAAAACAAAACCCAAATTCAAAGATATCAATACATACCAGGCTAAGAAGAAGGAAAAGGAAGGTAGGATGAATTTCATTTACGATGATACCGTTATGTTTCGCACCTGCAATTCAACTGGAATGTAAGATTTGAATGATTCATTTAGTCTTGAAACTAGCATAAGTTTCTAACAAGTGTTTCAAGTGGAATCTTCATGTTGTTCCAATTTGTTTTTTTTAATCTTTCTTGCAGGTAACATTCAAAATCTATAGTAAAATATGAGGTTTTCCATTTAAAGTAACTGAAATTAAAATGTAATTGCCTGTGTATGTGTAAAGCAATTGAAAATTGAAATCATAGAGATAAATTAGTCGATATTTTCTAGTTAGCAAATAACTGTCAGATTGAGCCCATAGATTTTTTGTAACATATTGTTCTTATAAATGTTTTCTATTTGATTAGACCCTCATGTATCTGGTAGCATTTATCATAACATAAAATATAATAGTTGAAAGTAGACTAAATACAAGCAAGTAGTAGCTAACTAGTGAGATAATGGAGATTCTAAATAAATTAATAGTGTTCAGACACTTTACTCAAAATTAAATCATCTTGAACATTCCAGCTCAACTGGAAATTAATTTCAAATTCTAAAACTTACTTCAATGACAAAGTATTATTTTGTCAGTTTCGTCAGTATCATTAATGCTATGAGGGTGAAGTCGTTTTTAGGTTCAATTATTGATATAGGAGGTTTAGCAAATAGATACTTGTCCGTACCTACAAAGTTGATCTTATATGATAGATAGATAGATAGAAATTTATTGATCATACACCAATTTACATTGGATTTATAAGTCAAAAATAAAACAATGTTAAAATAATGAAACAATAAAAACACTTTAAAACATTCTCAAACCAAGCAACACTGAAAGTAGGTAGTACACAGTACACTGTTCATTGACAGTCCGAAATGAATTCTGAAATACTATAAAATGTCATTGATAACAGATAACATTTCAATTTTGTTTTGAATCCGAACAGGTTTGGTTGATTCTTCAAGTCATCATGTAGCATGTTAAAAAAGTTGCCCCAGCATATTTTAGGGATTTTTTATAAATCGGGTAGTTAACAGTTTCCAATCTGAATTGGTTTCTTTGACGGGTTGTTCTACCTTCGAGGTATTGAAACTTGCATTTTTTTTTTACAAAGATATGATAATCTCGAAGTCATTCAAACTTGATTGATTCATTTAGGTGTTTTTTCATAATTCTCAATAGAATCTTTATGCAAACCAGTAGTTATCAATATTTTTTATAGAGTTCGGTAAAACCTTCACTATTTCTCAACTTGTTTAGCTCGATGACCAAATAACTGTGTTCATTCTCATTAATACCATCATTTCGTTTCTGCCCAGTATTGTATCTTGATCAAACAAATAATTTGCTAGACTCTTCGACCACCTCAATATCAAGTTTTCAGAAGTAGTTTCTCTTCAGGTAGATCCATTTGCGACTGTTTGGGTCAGGAACATGAATTTATGAACAACTGTTTGGTATGTGGGAGGATTCATTGCATGGAGGAAGGGCCTGGTCCCTGTTTGTTTTGTGGAAATATGGTAAGACATTACTGTAAATTTGGACTAAAGTGTTACCTGTTTTGAAATTTTTAGATTTCTGTAAGAGGAGATGAGCTGTATGATGCTAATAGTCGAAATCAAAAATCTATTATGAGGTAATTATTTTGTTTATTTCCACGTGAGTATTGAGAATAATCATACTCGTTATTGACAGCTCAGGGAGTATGAAACAACAATGGATCCGAAAACCTACGCCTTTTTGAGTGTTTCCTTACTCTTGACTTGAATATACAGGGGTGTGCAAAAGTTCGGAATAAAATTAATATCTTTTTAACCAGTATTTTAGAAAAAAAAAACGCTGAAGCACTTCAGTTGATTTCACGTTGTACGCATTTTTTGGCAATAAAATGAAATTTTTTTTTAACCCCTTAGCTGCAACCCTCCCCAACTTTTTTTTTCAAATGCAAACCCATGTCGTGTATGGGCTCATTGAAAAGCTCGTAAAAAATAGAATCTGACCATATCCTTTATATTTTTTTACTCATGCGGTTACCACGAAATGAGAAAAAACTCTTTTAAAACCAAAAAAGTTAGAAATACCTACTTAGTGCTATCTACACAATATTGAAAAACATTTCAAAATATTCTTGATGTAACCAGAAAAATTACACCAAATCGTTCTTTCAATTTTGGTTGAAACATGATTGATTCTAATGAATGGCATTTGACAGAGTTGCCAATACGTAATTTTCAAAATCCCCAGCGGGCCAGAGAAATATCCTCCTATTTTACCAATTTTATCAGCCTTCATATGAAATTCCTCACAAAATCTTCACATGGTAATTTTTTTCGAAGAATATTATTTTTAGGCATTTTAAAAAGGAGAATATAAGTGTTTTTTATTCCTTATAGATAACACAAAAAAAGGAAACTTCATAAATTCATAAAACGTTTGAAACATGACAGTTTTCAAAATGTAGAAACAGAAAACTGATTTTGAAGTAGAAATATATAAAACAATAATCTTCCATATTTGGCAATAATATGTCAACCGTGAATCTTACTGAAAAGCCGCTTTTCAACAACATATGACGTAACAAATGAGGTTGATATATCAATATCAAGTTTATTTATTTTCTCAGGGGCACCACAGCTGGTAGAACGATCAGCTGAAATCCCATATAAAACACTCATAATCTCTCCATGCCTACATTTGAATCAATACTCACAAATTACCCCCCATGAGTATTGAATTTTTACACTGTGATGAATTCCTTACACTTTGGTGACATTGCTCCCACCATAATCACATTTTGATATAAATTGAAATGTACCATGTCTTGAAACACGATTTCAGGCTTTTGAAGCCGGATTCTTCGAATTAATATTTTATGGATAATTTTGGGATAGATACCAAATAACTCCTCTGAATATGAAAAAAGTTTTGTTAATTACAAGGATTGTATAATATTCGAGTCGTGACGTATCAGTCCTATGAAATAATTTTTTCAAATCGTGGAATTAAAATACCGACTCGTCACTGATACCGGACCGCCGGGATTATAGCCACGAACAAAATTGTGTTTTCCGCAGAGGTAAATAATAAATAACCTAACTTATTTTCTCGTTTCACATTAATATTGAGGGTTTTTGGAATTTGTTTTGTAAATTAGAGAAATAAAGGATTTGCCGTAGTTGAAACATCAATATGGGACATTGGACATTAGAAATTGCCAAAATGGCTTTGTATGTAACTTTTCCAGTAGCTCTGTTCCATTACTTCAATCAGCCCCAGTATTTTGAGGAATGGGTTGTGAATACCAAGAGAGAAATGTACCCACCTGAAGATCCGGTTCAAAAAGAAAAATTCTTTAATGCTATAAGAGCAGTACAGGAAAAGCAACGTAACGAATATGTTGCATCCTTAGAAAAGGAGTGATACCTATTTGGCCAGTTCATTGTCTAGTTGAACCTAATTTGTATATATGTTTAATCATTATGTTACATGTGTTGATTACCTGTTGTATCAAAGGAAAAATAAATGTGTTGAAAAATTCTTATTAACAATTCTTTCTTATGAGTGATATGTGCGAACTGTTTTTTGAGTTTGATGGAATGCCTAAAGTGTTTTCAGAGATATACTGAGTTGAAAGTTCAAATCTGAATTATGAAACCAGTAGGTTTGAGTAAATTATGTTAGTACATTGGAAACATATTAGGACAAAGGCGCAAGTTAATTTTCATTATGTCATTATGTATCATTGTATGTACATATAATTTTATGAGCGAAAAAACAAAGAATTATTGAAATTTCAATCTTTATACAGCACAATCACAACTAATACAAATTGGTAATGATAATGAAACTTTTCTGATTGATTTGGCCGTTACTTGATGAAGATCTATAGTAATTTCAATAACTACACTTCACTTGAAAAAGCTACTGTGCTAGCGAAACAAGTTGTGATATATTTTTCAAATAAAGTTAGTGAAGATCAAATCGTAAGGTGTAGTTTTTGAAAAGATAATGAAACTCTTGGCATTCCTCTATAACATTCTCTCAAGTTGATTTTTCTATTCCCCAGTTTAATTCAAGATACCACATAACCTTTTATTGTGAAAACTATAGAACAAATGTCCTACAAAGATCGCCTATCGTAGTCATGTGTCGAAACTTTAAATAAATCATGCTAAGGTCATGGCATATTTTTCTGTTCAAAAAAGTGTTTATGTCCATTGGAAATAAATTACTCTATCTTTCTGTCTATCTAATAATGCTCAGCTCAAACATTTTAAATAGTGAAGTTGGGTGTTGAGGTGGATCTAGTTTGGAATTGAATAAATACTTGAAAGAGTACTTAGTTTTTCTCTGACATATCATTATGATGTTAGAGTTAGAAAGAACATTCAACTCACTTTACTGAAATTTTTGTAATGAGGGTTTGTGGGAATAGAGTTGATGACAAGGGTTAGATTTCAGAAATGTGTCCCCCTGGTAACCAAAACTAACAGGTTTCATAAATTTTTTATAGCCTCAATATCAACTGACTCATTTGGGTTGCTCGTTTTAACTGAAATGTATTGTATATATGACTTTTATACGTAACTTATGTTATGTGGAAGGTTTTTTCCATCTCATTTTCAAAATAAATTTTCTGTTAGAAAGAAGAATGAAAATTGAAGAAATCCTCATGTTCTGAATAAATTCATTGCATGCATTTGAAATATGAACTCCTTATGTCTGAATATTGTATTTTATAAAATTTCCAGCATTTTTATGTTGATATTTATATTTCTGACCCGTCGGTAACAAGCTGAGAATTTTTGGGCTACAGTAAGTCAAGTTTTCTGTGATATTGTTGTTTAGCTTGAGATAATAGAAACTGTATTCCTAGTAGTTCTTCTAGTAATGATAGTCATATGAATGCGTGCTAACACCTGGCTACAAGTTGGAATAGAGTTTCACTTCGAATTTTCATCTCCATTAAACAAATCTAGTTTTCTTATCTCATAAATTTAATTTGAAATATATAATTATATATTCCAGACCAAAGGAGAACAAAGTGTTCGATGATGATAATGATTACTTCAAAATAAATTCCAAGAAGACAAGTGGAACGGAAAGCAAGAAAAAGATGGTTATTGCTTTGGATTTTGCTACCCGGAGGGTCATTCAGAGTACCCAAGAGGACGCTAAGATCAGAGAGAGGCTTCTCCAGGATTCTGTGGAACATTTGAAAAAAGTGGAAGAAATTTATAAGAATATTCAGAAAAACTCCCAGTATACTTATGAACGGAACAGAAATACAGTGAGTCATTAGTTTCTTGTAGTTAACAATTTAAAACAAAGTTTTAATGGGGTACATACTTGTCACCTATCTGATAAAAACATCTTGATGACAGAGTATACCCTTACCTTAGATATTTATTGTGTCTTATTTGGATAGTTCACACCTTGTATTGATGATGAGAAAGATGGAAGAGCTATAGATGAAAATAGGCGTATTCCCAACGCTCTTTTTGAAGATTTTGGACTCTCCCTCCCCTCATGTAATGCACCGAACCGTTTTTCAGTACACCCCCTCTCCCATTCTAAACGTTACGTAATTCCGAAATGACCATTTTTTACCTAAATGTCACAATTATGTTGAGCAAAATACTGGCAAGTTGCTAAAATACCTTTGTAATTGTTTTAATCGCGTTTACGGTAATAATGAATAAAACAAAGTATTCATAACTATACGCAATGCACATATTGTTAATGGTAAAAGAACAAATAAAACTTGCGTGGGAAGCTTCACTTATAATGGCGAAATGGTGTTATATGAGGTTACCGCAGAATCGTTTGCAAATTTTTTCTCATCTGATGAATTGATTTAGGCCTTTCTCATCTGTTCACTGTGAAGAAAAAGCCTCATACAGTCTAAACTTTGATGGTTCTAAATGGTTCCAAATACATACAATAACTGAATCTGACTACAATGAAGCTGTCAAAAAACTAAAACCCAAAAAAGCTGTGTGAATAGATGACATCCCTCATTACATATTGAAGGGCTGTTATGAATGGTTAAGATGTCCACTACTTTATATTTTTCATTTAATAGCTAGATCAACTACTTTTCCTGAATTTTGCAAAACATCTATTACCATACCTATATTAAAATCGGGGAATGAAATAGAAATTGAAAATTATAGAGGTGTCTCAATGTGCGCTCTGTCTAGGTTATTGGAACAAATTATATATTCAAAACTGTATAAATTCGCTAATAAATACTAGTTTATTTTCAGCAATCAAGCTTTTGAAATTTTACAAAATAAATCTTAATTGAACACAGTATTCATGGACTTTCGTAAAGCTTTTGATCAAGTGAATCATGATGTGCTTTTGTTAAAAATTTGTAAATTTGGTTTGGCGAGGAATTTTCTTGAATTAATCAAAAATTACTTGAGAAATAGATTTTTCACTGTTGAATATAATGGAAATACTTCGGGAAAATTCCATGCTAATTCCGATGTTCCTCAGGGATCGAATCTAGGACCTCTTCTATTCTTATTATTTATCAATGATTTACCCTCTACCTTACATCATTCACATTGTCTGCTCTTTGCAGATGATCTCAAAATTTTTAAATGTATTCAAACTGTTAGAGACTGCGTATAACTACAAAAAGACATTAACAATATTAGACTAATAAGTTATTTTTCAATATAAAAAAATGTTATATGTTAACAATATCTCATTAGAAAGATGCAATTAAATTAGAATATCATATGGATAGAGAGGTCCTGGATGTGAAAACTGAGGCATTACTTATAATAGTACTTTTTCCTTAACAAAGCATATAATGTGGATAAGGAAATCTGCAAATCGTATGTTGAATTCAACGTGTGAATTCAATGATATAAATATACTCAAATTATTCTACTATACTCTAGTTAGACCAAAACTGGAGTTTGCTTCAATAATTTGGACAAGAGAATGCAAAACTATTTTAAAATGGGAAAGAAAGTTTTTGGCTTTCTACTACTCCATCTTGATCCAAAAAAAATGTGGGAATCTTCCAAAGGATGTAATCAATTTGAAAATAAGTAACTCTATATGTGGATGTGTAGATCATGCAAAGAAGCAACTTTCAGACACAAACTGGCAAAATGACATTCATTCACCTATTTGATTAAATCCCAGCCAAGAGGAATCTTATTTGAAATGAAGGGCTTATATTTTTAGGAGTGATTAATTTAAGGTTTAAAATAAATTTGTTGGCAATGAATATAATAGTCTTGAAAAATATATATTGTTGCAAGCGTGATGATCACTCCAATATGCTTCTCCGTATTACGCATAATAAACAATGACGAATACTGACAACTACATACAATACAGACGAGGAATTTCCCCTAAAATGTGAACGAACAGGTTGTCAATAGGGAGAACAAAATAAAAATGACAGAATACAGTTGACTGATTTTCCGTAAAATATAAAACGAAAAGGGTAGCCAACTTGGGGGACTTCAATTTCCCAGTTCTATATTTGAATTTTAAAAGGAAAATGTTACGCAACACGTTGTTCGAACCCCCCTCCCGCCCTTGTAACGCATCGTAACGGTTTACAAGACCCTTCCTCCCCCCAAATTTCGTTACGTAATACTTGAACAACCCCTATATTGCAAAGTGTCATTAGTGATATTTTTGAGGGGCTTTAGGAAAATGATCTCAAATTTCTGAAACTAAAGTAACTTTTTCAGATAAAGATTCTGAGAGAACCAGCTTCCCCAGGTAATGGCGCTCCGAAAAAGGTCCAATTTGATTGGTTTTTATTTTTATGTCCGCAGCAATGATCTTGAATTCTTTCAATGCATTCATGTTTGCATTACTAAGAAAGAATATTTTACATTTTTGGAATTTTAATATCAAACCAATAGATTTTGAGATGAAAATGATTTCAAATTGAAAAATTTAATTTGCATTGCTCTTATCAGCAACTAAATACACATTCCATTGATTTCTCGGCTGTTTTGACTGACAAAGAATAGTGCTGGTCCTAATGAATCTCTTCATCGTACTGTTGTACTCCTCTCTCATATGGAATTGAAATGTCTCTATAATTGAGATAACTTTTTATTTCACAATATTGACTGGAAAAAGAAAGGATTGGAAATCGATTCTGTAATTGTTTTTAATGATACTCTTGTGTGTTTAGGATGTTGATCCACATATTTTATCGCAACATGAGCAACAGCCTAATATCTTCAAGTTGCACCAACTATGAGAAATCAGTCTTGTTTTGTTATATTTGGCCCATCCAATATATACAAATGAGCTATAAAATAGTTGTATACATGACGTTACTCTTATTTTTTACTTGAATTTATACATCTCAAGTTTATTATTTCTGTAACGACTTTTCATTGGAAAGACAAACTACTGTTAGTTTCAATTTCAGAATGTTAACGAGGATTTAGTGAACTTACTCATCCAGATGCGCCATAAGAAACCCATAGGGGTGGAAGAAGATTTATCAAAAGAAGATTCCGCAATGCCTATTATAAATTACGGAACAAATGTCTTTGATGAGGACCTTATGGTTACAATGGATCACGGGCTTTGTTTGAGTATGCATCAGCCTTATGCTAGTCTTTTGGTAGCCGGAGTTAAAAAGTGAGTTGTTTAATCAGTATTAGATACTTCAACATAACGGTAATTATGGAGTGCCAAGTGGATAGCTATAAACTAATCAAAAACTATATTTACATATAATATAATGTAATATTATATAATAGTGAGGAAAATTAAACATATATATGGAACACAAACATTAATAACATTTGAATGCTAATTGAATACATTCATAGTTGCACAAAATCAAGCTTTCAAAGTGAAGACATAAATAAGTACATTTTTCACACTGTTGCGTACTCCTGTCATATTCAAATTGTAAGAAATGTATGCTCATTATCATTTATGAGCACTATCAAATAGAAAATTCAAAGACACAGAAATTATATTGTTTTTGATTCTCTGAATAGAATATTTTTACATGATGTTGAAGGATAACAGTGATCATTATTATTATAATTTTTTTTATGGAAACGCTTGGTCAAGGTAGCATGAAAATCCTCAGAAATGTAGTATACTGAGTATTTTAAACTATTCAGATTTCTGGTCATGAAAGCAATTTTGCTGAGTTTTGAGAACGCAGAGTTCATATGAATTTCCCAAGTTTTTCGGTTGAGAGGTAGGAATAGACCAAAACCTCTCCTGATATTTCTCAGTGTGGTATGCTTTGAACATGTTTGAAGAAGGGCCATTGTTGATGCTGTGATTTACAATTTTTTGGAGAAAGCAGTACTTTTTTTGATTGATTATTCAACTGTGTTAAAGAAAAATAGATTATTTGTATATTCCTATAAAATGATTCAGTAAATTGTAGTCCAACAAGGTGATGAAACGGTCCATGAAATGAGCCATGAGGAATACATTTGTCAGCATTACGTCAATTATCAGATTTTGCGAACCCAATCATGACAGTCGATTAATGATTCTCTCAGTAAGATTTTGCTCATGTGGCACACCAAATATTTAAAAAGGTTACAGTTTTATCAATAGTGACTCTTCCCTGTGCATACCCCATGTAATTGATTTGTTACCCAATTTCCTTGCGATGCGTCATTGTAATCTTGCTGGCAATCTCATAAACTACAATTCACGATTTGATCTCTACAAACTTTATTTGAAAAATCACATGGTTTGCTAACACAGTAGCTTCTTCAATAGTGATTTGAATACTACAAGTTGCTTTTTACGTTAATATTTATATACTACAGCTAACTAGAATAACCTATAGTTCTATAATATTTATATACCTGAGATACCTCTTCAATTATGATTACCTGAAGCATATTACCTCACTTCTACATCAATACTAATACTTCCTCGGTTTTTTAAGAGAACAAGTTCAATAATGATGATCTATTCAAATCCAGTTGGTCATTCATTAGACTGTTTGAATTTTTAAGTTTATTAATTTCCATTGCTTCCAAATAAATCGGTTTCAAACCTTTATTTTCTATGTGTAAAATTTTGAACTCTTCGTTAAATATATAATTTTCATCTAAAAGATGATTTGTATATGTTGAACTTGTTTTCTTATTTACATAGTCATATGATGTTCCTGGATTCGATTCCTAAATGTTCAGCCAGTTTGACCAATATATACCTTAGGACACGTTCCACGCTTTAATTTACATACTCGTGATTTCACGAACTTGGATGTTTTGTCTTTTAGTTTTTAACTAAGTTTCCCAACATAACACTTGTTCTATAAATATGCAATTTTAATATCTCGTTTCCTCAAAAATGAAGTCACTTTTTCCGTTGTTTGTCCAAAATACGTTAAAGCTCTATAATTTTGATATTGATTATCTAACTTATCGAATCGCTTTTGCGTAGACTTTTTTGGGAAGTATTTTGTTTATTGATTTATTAATCAGAAAAAAAACTCGTAGCAATGTCTATTGAAAATGAATTGTAGCCTATGTTACTTGCTGACAAAGCAGCTTTTTATAGGTGAAAGAATATTTAAAATCAGTTGAATACTTTGTGGGTTCATCCATTACAAACATTTTTTTTTCTTTTTTCAGTATAAGTTTAGATTTATATTCATATCCTCGACATCTTTAGTCATACATATATTCAATGCGTTCATAGATGGCAGTGTTGATAGGTGTATATTTGCAAAAACAATTTTTGATATGGAGAATCAACTGATTTCTTTCTACATAAGTTGTCAAATGTAGTGGTATGAAGCAATTTTCACATTAGGAAAATTTTCATTGGACTTCAAGTAATTATGGATAGTTCTTAACCCCAAGTTGGGGTAATCATCTCTACATAATTTTATAGGCATGAAGGAAGAACTTGGCCAACAGATCATAGAGGTCGCTTGTGGATTGCTGCTGCAGCGAAAGTACCGGAAGATGAGGAAATTGATGCTTTGGAATCATTTTACAAAGACTATTATCAAGGTGAAATACATTGCTGTTACTTATCTCATTTTTAGTCAATCATGCACCTCTATATTGAATTTTTATTCAATCATGCACGTTTATATTGAATTTTTAGTCAATCATGCAAAATGAATGCACAAAGTCTCAATAAATTTTTTTTATATTTGAAAAAAAAATATTTTTATGAACTTTCTCTTGTTTATGGTGAAATAAAGCATTTTTAAATAATATATGTTTACAGAATGAAGTACAAAATCTATAAAATGGACCTGTAAGAATTCAAATTCATATTTAATAATATGAATGTACATATGAATATGATGAATATTGAAAAGTTGTTGAGTACATGAATAATACAGTGTGCAAAGTGTAAACACTAGTGATGTGCCGAGTCGCTGTTTTGATGGATGGTGCCAACTCGAGTCAGTTTCTACGGTATTCGAATCATGACTCGATTCCCTGATTCGAGACCATGACTCGAATTCTAGGTTTGGTATTTGAATATTGACTTGAGTCCGGCTGGACTCGAGTCCAGAATTCGAGTTTGAAAATTCTAATCCAGAACTAGAGTCCGATTTTAGAACGAAAGGGAAAAATGAAAAGAAGTCAGCTTCAAACGGTGTGTAGGTTAGGTTAAGCAGCCCATCAAGTTACCACAAACTGTGAAATTTTCCCAAACGGAAACCAACCTTATTATTTCGCTATAAAGTTCAAAATCGATTACAGAAATTTGACAGATTTGTATACCTTGACGTGCTGGCGACCAAAGCCAAAAAGGTCGTATAAATACGATTTAAATAGTACGGTTGACAGCGTTTTTACAAATTCGAATACAAGACTCGAGTCACTTGGACTCACATAAATAGAATCGAGTTAGCGAGTATGAATCGATTCTTTCTGACTCTAGTACCGGAATCGAGTCCGGTGTACTCGAATCAAAATAAATGGGTATTCGAGTAGGCGAATTCTGAAGTAGGAATCGAGTCTGACTCGAGTCAAACCGTACTCGGCACATCGCTAGTAAACACTTGTGTTCAACTAAATGAGTTGTAAAATCAAGAATATGACAATATATATTGTACATTAAAAACAAATAAATTGAAATCAACGAATGTATAGTTAAAAACTCCTTTGATGTTCGGAGATTCTCGTTTTGAAGTTTCTTGAAGTCGTTTCTACATATACCTGTGTGTGTCACCATCCACACGTCAGTGGATTTCTACTTCTCCATCTTTATACAGAAAAATGTGGGGAAGGAAGGAAGCAATACATTTCAAAAAGATAATTCTACAAAAAGATATTGTTGTAAATCATGCCCTTGAGAAAATAACGTTGGCCGCCGCTGGTAGCCATAAATCAACTGTCACTTCCTCAAGACCGCGCGCAGCCTCGATTATTCTAGTCTTCGCACCGGCTTCGATGTAATCCCGGCGAATATTCCACGGGCTTCAATGAATTTCTGAGGAATTTTCCACCGGTTTCGGGATAATTCGTTGCCGCATATAAACGCTATCCACGAGCGTGTGGAGATAGTCAAGTTTCGCGGACGGTGCGATGCAAAACGATATTATAAGGCGATAGACATTGCAGCGATAGAAATTTGAATAATGGTGTATTAATGTTGTAATAAGTACGCTACAAAATGCCTAAGTGCCAACTGTCATCTGTCTCGGGGGTCACCGATTAAACCAGTCAAGCCCAGATCGTGTATGATTCCACATCCTAGCCCTAGCCATCCTGTCCATATATATGTTCAATAACACAAATGTAACAAAGTATTTGTTACATTAATAGTGAACTAAAGTTGAGATTGATTATTGCTCTGAGTAGTCAATTATTGGAAAACGTAACAATATGTAGATCATGCAAAGAAGTAACTTTCAGACACAAACAGGAAGAAAAAAACTCTCTTGAAACAACTACTTTCAAGTGTCTTCACGTGTTTCGATTACCAAGTGATCATCTTCAAGAGGAAGATTAAACTGTTTGATCTTCCTCTTGAAGATGATCACTTAGTGATCACAGTTTAATCTTCCTCTTGAAGATGATCACTTGGTGATCGAAACACGTGTCGAGGTGTTGAAATAACGGTTTTGTGTTGGGAAGAAACTCCAGAAATATTCACTACTACACCAAAGGTTCCAAACAGTGCATCACCATTGCTACAAGTAATAATTTATGTAGACAAAAAGTTCAATTATCCCAATTAACCTCAGCCCGGAGAATCAAATATTCGAATAATTATCTTGAAGAAAAAACCTCCGAAAATGATTCAAGTGAGTGAAAAAAATAAACTGACTCTAAGGTAGTATTAAAAACAACCTGTTACTGCAAACTTCAGAAGGAGGACCAGGGTACAGTGGAAACAGAACATACATACATACAAAATAAAAATTTCTGCTTAATTATTTCGGTATATTGTTTACAACTAACTTCGCCTGAAAAACTTTTTTATCCTATTTGGAGTTCGGATAATTGGGATTCTACTGTATATTTATCATCTAAATGCATTACTAGGTTTTATTTCATCATTTTATTTTTCAGATACATCCCTCAAGTTTCCCAAAGACTATCCAACTAGTTGTCTTCTTGGTTGCGTTTTTGTTGAAGACTGTATGGAGCAAGAAGCTTACAGGAAAAAGTATCCCAATGGGGAAAGTAACAGTCCCTACGTTTTGATTTGTTCGTCTCCTATAATACTACCAATATTTTATCCTATTGTTGGAAAACATAAAATATGTAAGTGAAACTCATGGTAAAGTGAACGCGTTATAACAGTGAATGTTTATAACAACATTTGGATGAATTGAAAGGGGCATATTATCAGGAGAGTTTAATTTTTGGTAAATATAGGTATTGGCTTTCTACTTCTCTAGCTTTATACAAAAATGTGGGAATCTACCAAAGAAAGGAAGAAAGCAATTAACTTCAAAATTAGCTCTTTACAAATTGAAATTAATTGCTTTATTCCTTTCTTTGGAAGATTCCAATATTTTTTGTATAAGGAAGAAGTAGAAAGCTAAAACCTTTCTTTCCCAAAAATATGGATATATTTGGAACAATGGCAAAAAATATGATATACTTCCATTTTATGAGGATATACTTGAATTATACTGTGTTTGAAATATATTTCAGTCAAAACCCTTGGGCTAAATGGGTTGAAAAATATCGGTAACACCTGTTTCATGAACAGCATTATCCAATGTTTATCAAACACGAGATGGTTAATGGAATATCTGAAAAAGGAATCAATGAAAGATATCAATACTAGTATTTTTTTATGAAGGGTGCTTTGATCAAAACGTTTGCAGAAGTCATCACGGAGTTGTGATCAGAAGATTCATTCGATAGAGTAGTAAATACAGTCTCTTTAAAAAAATCTGATTCAAAGTTTTGCTCCTTGATTCATGGGTAATGCCTATCAAGACGCTCATGAGTTCCTTTGTTATCTTTTAGAAGGTTTACATGAAGACGTTAATATAATTGATGAGAAACCTAAACAAATCTTAACGGAAATTGACGAAAAATTCAGCGACAGTGAAAATGCAAAAGAGTGATGGCTTACATATTTGAGGATGCAGAACTCTAAGATTGTAGATAATTTCGTTGGTCAATTGAAATCCAAGATGAAATGCACACACTGTGGACACTCATCAGTAACCTTCGATCCTTTCTGGGATTTGTCTCTCTCTATACCACAAAGAACCGACCAATTGAGTTTGTGGCAATGCTTGGATTCGTTCACAAGAGAAGAAACTTTGGATGGAAATGAAAAACCGACGTGTTCGAAATGCAAGAAAAGGAGAAAATGCATAAAGTCCCTATCAATCCACAAGTTTTTCCATATTTTAGTAATTCATGTAAAAAGATTCTTTCAAAGGAAAGATTTAGAGGCAAATTGAATGTTGTCATCGAATTTCCTCTAGAAGGATTGGATATGGACAGTTTTGCAGCAGAAAATGTGGCTACTTGTTGTTATAATCTACATGCACTTTTAAATCACTGCGACTACATACAGAGGGCATTATACAGCATACTGCAGACTACTGGCACGTGTTACAAATACAATGATTCACACGTGTCACCAATTTCACCAAAATTGCTTGGGAGTGGAGAAACATACGTCCTCTTATTAAAAGGATGGAACAAAATCGCACCTTTGGGATAACTGAGAAAAAGTTTCTACATGCTCCTGTACCAATATATTTGATATTTATATTCAAATATGAATTTTATTTGTGTACCCGATGAGTTGAATTTATATTGTGTCATTAAAGTTATATATTTAGTTCGTATTAAAATCACGTAATATATTTCTTCAAGAGTAGAAACACTGTAATAGTGACAAAAATATTAGATAATTAATCCAAAAGGCAATAGATATACGTGGGATGTTCAAAAAATAAGGTGAATGTTAAAATTTCGCGGGCTATGTACACAGTTTTAGCTTTTTAGCATGTTTAGTTTGTTGGTGAGAGGCATAAAAGTTAGAAGTGTTTTGGGTGTTTGGCGATTTTCTGCTATCGAAAAAAAAATGGATCAAAGAATTTGCATCAAATTTTGTGTCAAAAAAGAAATTGAGTCCTCAAAAACACTTGAAATGTTTACAGTGGCATACGGTGTACGTTAACAATAATGGATTCTACACAATTGCATACCCAGACGACGTAGTTATCTTGCAGACCAGCAGTTCTGTGAACGCACTGTGCGATAGAGCGGAGGATGGGCTCAAATTAATAGAAACATGGTGTCGATCAATCCCAAGAAGACTGAGATGAACCTTTTCACCAGGAAAAGAAGTTTATCGTGCTTAAAACATCAGGAAATCTTCAAAAGCAAACTAAACTTCTCTGAAGAGGTGAAATAATTTGCTACTTCCCTCGACTGAAAGGTAACATGAAACTCTCACCTACAGAGTAGAGCAAAAAGAGCATGTTTGGCTTATGAGCAATGTCGGAGGACAGTGGAATGAGCATGGGGTCTTTCACCCCGTGTGGTCACCTGGATCTATACTGCATTAATAAGACCTATGTTAACATATGGAGCCATTACATGGGGACCGAAAGTTCTACAAGCAACGGTCATCCAAAAATGTCTCAAATACAGAGATTGGCTTGTTTAAACATCACTGGAGCCATGAGAACAACACCAACCACGGCAATGAAATTAATTACTGGTCTGACCCCTCTGAACCTGTAAGTTAAGGAGGTTGCATTATTGGACATGGTATAATTGCGCACAGCTGGTGTAAACCTCGAACTAGGAATGTGTCAATTGAGGCTGAGCCTACGGCGAGAAGCGCTTACTGCGCAACCTCTGTTGCAGGCAGCCAGTGATGCAATTGAACCCAGGTTTGTGTTTGATAAACCCTACAAAATACAAATAAAACAGAATACATAGTCAGATGCTACAAATGCAATATGCATATATACACATGGCTCAAAAACCAAAGAAGGTTCAGGATGTGGAGTGTACTCCAGGCAGGGCCGTAGCGAAAAGAAATACCAGGGAAGGGAATCCAAATTTTCCCAACCCCATCAGCTAAATTTCCCAACTTTCGAAAAAATGAAAGCCGAGGGATAAGTTACTACTATAATATATTAATTTTCTTACTTGGGTATCCAAAGATTGGCTGAATACTTATGCCCGTTAGGGTATGCACAAACAAAAATAAATTTTGGTTATTATGAAAATAATAATGGAAATTATTATACTTTGGACCACGGTCCTAGGTCTTCCACCATATCCACCATGTATAGGAATATTCAATACAAATGAAAGGAAACGACACTTGAGTAATATTGTGCTTATTGTTTTCTACTATTATTTTTTCTATCTTCACGGTCCGAAATTTCCCAACTTTCGAAAAAACAGCGAAACTTGGGAATTTTGTAAAATTTCAATTCAAAATTTGTGGACTGTTCAGGACTGTTCTCTAACTTGAGAATTTCAAAGTATGGGATCTCCAAGTTATGCATGTTGGGAAATCCCAACCTTCTCCTGGTTCTTTCCATTTTCTTATTACCACTCCCTTTCTTTTCTCTCATTTTTATTTTTTTAATTTTCATTCATTTTTTTACTATTATTTTTTTCTATCTTCACGGCCCAAAATTTCCCAAGTCGAAAAAGCAGGGGGGGAGGCTCCCCCCATCCCCCCCATGGCGACGGCCCTGACTCTAGGTCACTAAGCCTCAGGATGGGAAATGGGAAAAAATACCAGCGTGGTATGAGCGCGGTATGAGCAGGTCGTATGAGCATCGGTCAGACGGTAATCCAGATTTCGTTTAAAAGGTCATAACTTTTAACGAACCATCGGTATATGGATATGACTTCGAAACCAAAGTCCAATCGTCCCAATGGAAGAGTCAAGACCAAAAAAGTACGCCAAAATTACTTAAATTCCAAGGTTTTGCTCACTTTCTACAATAACCATGGCGTAGTGCATCAGGAGTTCCTGCCTCTTGGTCGTACGTTCAATAAGGAATATTATCTTTAAGTTATGCGCCGCTTGCCGGAACCAATACGAAGGAAATGTTCGGATTGTGATGGCTTTTGCATCATGATAATGCACCTGCTAACTCGACATTGTTTGTTTATAATTTTCTGGCCATAAACAACACCATAATCATGCCTCAGCCATCGTATTCTCCAGATTTGACTCCGGAGATTTTTTACTCTTCCCAAGATTGAAGAGACCCATGATAGGACGGCGTTCTGCAACGATTGAAGAGATAAAAATCTAATCGCTGAGGGAGCTCAGGGACATCAAATAGTGCAAAGCAGAACTGCTTCGAGAATTCGAAAAAACACTGGCACAAGGAGGGAGACTACTTGGAAGGGGAAAAATAGAAATTGATGAATAAATAAATATTTTATGAGTAAAATGAAACATAGAATATTTCTATGAGGAAGGAGCAATAAAAAACATGCAGGTAAATTTATACTAATCATCAATAATGTAGCATACTATGGTTGTTCCATGCATACATTTCTGTTAGATAAAATTCAATGTCCATTGTGGTAATAACCGGGGAAGTAGTTGTTTATCACTAGGCATGTACTCGATCCTACTGTATAGGACCATTGAGAGACAAAGGCTTCTGTTACTTGCTTTTATAATCGAAATACCACTTTCTATCACTCAAAAGATCAAATAATGTGTTATGAATTATTTTTTCGTTCTTGCATCTCAATCTCAATGAGCATAAAACATGCTGCCAGTTTTGTATCTCCAATAAAAGCAAAGTTACCATTGGTGCAAACTCAATTCAGATCAGCTGGTATATATCTATATATATGTACAGGATAACTTTATGTTTCAGATTCTTTGGACAAGGATATTCACAAATGTGCAAAAATGGCACTCCAGCATGCTAAATATGTAATGTGAATGTGTGAGTTTGAGGACAAGAAGAATTATTTTATTTTACATGTAATTTGAATAAAATCACTGCTGCCGGCAGGTGCCAAAGATCTCATGTATTTTGATGAATTCTTGTGTAGCTCTTTTTCCATCTCCAGAATCCTAGTGTCATCCGACTTGTTGATAATCAAACCAAGGCCATTGGAAACTCCAGCAGCTTGAGGGACTCCTCTATTTATCTAGAACAGGAATATTTCAGTCGAAAATATCTCAGTAATAATAATGATAATCTGGAATGTTTGAAGAACCCCAATGAAATTTACAATTTTCTGATTTATTTGACGGTACCTGTTTTTTTTTCAGGGAGATAAATGACTTGTTTGTTGCAAGTATTAAAACTAACGCAGCTGGTTGGGATGAGCTGAATATCAAACTCATAAGACTCTATTGTTGGTCGGTAGTCAGGTGGTTTGACGTGGGTGCTTTGTTCACTTACTCGAATTGACTGCCGTGTTGGTCGGTGGTTCAAGCCCTAGTCTAAACGATCGATTTTCACTTGCTATCGTCCAACCCGTTTCAGGAATCACACGTTAAAAGGTAAGGCCTCGTTAATCCTTATCTCGCACAAGTTTCAACTTCTGAGGGTTATCGTTGGTAGGAGTGCTACAGTTGGTTAACGGAAAAACAAATTTTTAAACTGATTTTTTAAACAGATACACGAATATATTACCCACATTATGAGTACTTGTATTTCTGAAGGCATTTTTCCATTGTCATGGGGTAGAGCAGTCGTAAAAATACTTCCCAAGAAGTTAAATCCTGTAGAATATAAAGATTTGTGGAATCCAAAATATTAGAACGACCTATGCAATATCAACTGGTAGAGTATTTAACATTTTGATTCAGTTCAGTTAAGTTTGCTCCCTCTCATTCAATGAGGATTTTGATAAGGCTACATCTGTACGACTGTTCTGCTCATTGTCGTCCATGATATCATTAGACTCATTAGAGCAACGAATCAAGGACTTTGCACTAAACCCATTTTATTAGATATCAGTTGAGCCATTCATACTCTCAATTACCCTTTATTATTGCTCATTTTGAACTTTTCAAGGCTCCTACCGGATGTTGTGAAACGCAATTTGATTATTTATTTTCAAAATCTGGAGTTCCTCAAGGATCAATTCTTGGACCACTGCTGTTTGCGGTATATACGAATATCTTCAATTTCATTACAAGTTTTCAACAATGTAACCGAAGATGATACTCAGATTATCAGAAACTGATAATGCTTGTAGTGAAATTAATAGAGAACTGATATATTCATCAAGAATGCTTCTGATCACTGCTTGATTATGAATTCTTCTGAATCAATAATTTTTGGTTCAAAAAATAAACTCAGATATGACCTTAACATTATGAATATAGTTCTTAGTGATGAAACCATAGACATTATTGATGATGTCAATGTTTTAGGTGTATTGTTGGAATTCAATATGAGATTTGAGAGACATGTCAATAAATTGTTACAAACAGGTTTTCCTCCATATGTGTAATATATGGAATGCGGCATTTTCTACCGCCAAAACTCAAAGTTACATTCTGAGAAAGTTTGAGTGTAGTCCAAAATTAATTAAGCAGACACTGTTTAGGTACCTAATATAACTAATCAATATAAACAAGAAAAGTGCAAAATTCATGTCTACGTGTAGCCAATTAAACAGGAAGACGCAGAAGAATTTCCCATAAATTGCACAAAGTTGGTTGGCTGAACATGGAAAATAGGAGAATTTTACATTGTGGATGTAATTTGCAAGTAATTTGCACATCAACTCCTTCCTATTCACATCGAAAAATAACTTTTTGTATAGATGTGCATGATGTAAATGTAAGATTTAGGAGAAAACTGTCTCCGCCCTCTTTCAAAAGCGAATACTTCTCATAATTGTCAATTTTGCAGAATTTATAACATCGTTCTATCCTATTTCAAAATGAGGAGTTTTTAGGTTAGGAATCACACGTTAAAAGGTAAGACCTCGTTAATCCTTAGCTCGCACAATTTTTGACTTCTGAGGTTTGTCGTTCATAGGGGTGCGACAGCTGGTTAACGGAAAAACCGATTTTAAACAGACAGATTTTTTTTCGAGTCTCAGTTCAAACAATATTTTTCTTGCTAAAAATCTTCAGAATCCTGTATTCAAATCAACTGCTGCTTATAAAGTTATAGAATATGAATAATTCGAAATGGAGGCGGTAGAGTCAAAAAACGAAATTCGACAATTATAGTTTTTGGCGGATATTTAAAAAAAACCCTAATATTCTTGATCTGAAAAGAGATTATTCTAGTTCCCCAAAATAGGAAACTTTTTTTATTGGCTTCCGGGTTTTGCTGTGGTCTTTTTTGGTCTTAATATACAATCGTTTCAACTGCAACTGCTACAGTCATTTTTAGTGACGTTGTCGAAGTACTCTTCTTGACGTGTAAAAAGTTGACAGTTATAACTGAAGAAGACCACGGCAAAACCCGGAAACCAATCAAAACATTGACGCCAGCCGTGAAAGCCTACATCCCTATATAGGAAACTTTTGTCCAATGACTGACCTTGTAAGTCTTAGCATTTCCGAAATAGTAATAATGGGATTACCTGAAAAATGGCCTGTATATTCTGAAGATCTGAATTTATTTTACCAGAAATTTGGAGGGTATCTCTACAATGAAAATAAAAATGCCTCATCTAACTCTACTCTGACTCATTTTAGCTTCAAGTCAACAGATTGACTTGGAATATCGACAAATACTTTTTATATTACATATTTCAAATGATTCAACTGGACTTTTCAATTCAATTCAATAACTGCAGATATGTCCTATTTTATTTTCTGCCTTTGAGACTTCTGTAGTAGGACCACAAAGTAAGCGTCATCTAGGTTATATAATTCAAAAGTCAAGTTCCCTTAGTTTTAGCATTGTCTATATACAATGGTTTTAGTTGATTTAGAGAATGGATTCGATAGCGCCATCTGACGGCAACGGTCCCCTTGAATTAATGCTGTTAGTTCATTCACACCCCACCATTGTCTAAATTCTTAGACTACGATTCAACGAAGGCTCTTCACCACCATCTACTTGAAGATAGCACAGGTACCCTTATGCAATTCCAACAGTGACGGCTCGTGCATTGGAGAACAGGGGAGGCTAAAGTTATAAAGACTATATACACACAGAAAATTTTTTGGGGTACCGCACCTATTTAAAGCAAAATACGTAATATTTGCATAAATGCAAACAAAAATTGTGTATTGCCGAAAATTATACGTATAAAACTGACCATTCGAAAAACAAAAACAAGGAAAAAGAGTTGTCTTTGAGTTATTTGATATAAATCATTTTTAATTTTTCATTTCCAAACATAAAATTTATTAAATCTGAAGACTTTCAATTTTGAAACATTTGAGGGTCGCTGTACATTATGATTAATTAATTTTTCAGTTGAATAACATCGAAAAATGGATACTGAGCTATTAAGTCGTTATAAAGTTTTTGGGTAAAATCTTTGGTATAGGACGAAAATTTTTGAAACAACAACAAATCAAAGTAGTTTCATTTAAATAAATTATCAAATCTAACTTTGATTTGCATTGAAAAGGTGTCCAATATTTCATTATAAATCTGTTTATAATTTTGTCTTAAATCGGTTAAGTCTAAATTAGTTTTTCTTTTTTTCGGCGCCGGTGGTTCCAGAGTTAAATCAATTGATTCGAAAATAATATTAAAAAATGTATTATTATTTCTGAAACTCATCAAAATTTCTGTAGAATTATTTAATCGTTGTTTTGAGTAATTAATATGTAATGATTTTTTTTGAAAAATAGAAAAAACAACATCGGTATGTTTCTAACAAGAAACAAAACTTGTGATCATATAAAATATATCTGAAACCTCTATAGTCTATCGACTATATCGTCAGATTTTTTAATTTCGTCCAACTTAACCATAATAAATGGAAAAAAAACCTACCGAAAAGTAAAAACCTGAAAACACCTTGAAATTGAAAGAAAACACTTTGAAAACACATTAAAAAATATTACCAAAAAGTAGTGCTATAATACAATACTGCCTGTTTTATACACAAATAACTAATATTATCAAGAAACACTAAAACGGTTTACCGAAATATTTTTTAGTCCCGGTCCGTCACGGCATCCCGTCCGAATAATTAAATAAAAAATAAACGCAGTCATACACTAACGGAGACCAACAGGAGACTAGCCTCCTCTAAAGCTATAATTTCAGCAACTAAAATTACAAATCGGGACGTATGTCGCTGGTTGGTTCGGTCTCGCGGAGCTTGTGTTTTTTAAAGCGGTCGAAGGCTTGGCTCCCTTGCAACGTATGGCATTTATTATTTCGGGTTGATGGTTTATTCGTTATTCGTTCATGGGCGGTGCGTTTGACGTTTGTTGATGCAGGATACAGTGTAGTATGTACTAGGTAGTGAGTGATAGTGTTTTTTCGGACATATTATGTATTTATATAAAAAATTAATGGAAAAGTAATGATAACCAAGCATTTTCAGAAAAAAAATCATAATTATTTGTCAATATCTTTTAATTTATTGCGATGAAAGCCTCAAATTTTATGGGGAGGCTAAGCCTATCTTGCCTCCTTTGACGAGCCGCCGCTGAATTCCAATAACCCCTTAGAGGAAATTATAAGTGAGCTCATACTGTACTGTACAGATATCATCCATAGGAAATTCCACTTACAACCGTCACTTTGAATATTTCAATCAACGTTTCGTTTCCTTGTCTGTTAATGAATTTTTGGTGTTCAAATTGTGGGAAAGTTCACGGTATACCGTCCGACCTGTGCGTCGGACGTTAAAATCGGACGTTAAAAGGTAAAGCCTCGTTGATCCTTGGCTTGTAGGTACATGTTTCGATGTCGGAGGAGTTCTGTTCGTGTGGTATATAGCTAGGAAAACTTTTTTCGAATTTAGTTTTCATGTAATCAATTTCTCTAGCTGGAATTGCAGAATCCCTTGTCAGATGGACTCTAATGAAATGTTTACCAGAAAAAATCATTTGTGGATGATACACACATTTTATCAAAGA